GGGGGGGGGTAACCGTCAAGGTTGGAGGCTCACTTGACGTGGTGTTCTTTTCTGGTAAGTTGGTCTTCCACAGTGAGCAACTCGGGATCGCTTATAGACAAAGCCTTGTCGTGGGAGCTTTTTTGCTGAAATAGAACGAGTGCAAACCTCCGGCCATCAGTCGACTTATCGATGCGGAGATCTATCGGATTTTCCAACATCAAAGTCTCCTCCACATATGCTCGCACACGCGACTCCATCCAGTTCACGGGGATGTCACGAATACATATAGTGCGGCTCAACTCCTCCTCCTCATGCTCAACCAAAGACGTCTCTGACGCAGCTACGGCTTTGCTGGGCAGACTCGACGCATCTTTCAAAGCTGATCCACTGTTCATCTACAACACATCAAATATATTCATGCAATACGCCCACACCAACAGTTAGCTCCAGTACAGGTCGCTCGGAGGCTGAGGTCGCTCGGCGGCTGAGGTCGCTCGGCGGCTGAGGTCGCTCGTCACCATTTCTCTATATCGAGTCACCACTCCAGTCTACCAACCAGCCTTACCAACCAGCCTTTCCAGCCAGCCTGCCGAGCTGTCTGGAAACCGGTCTGTCGCTGAGGCACGTGTCTTGACCTGGTAGCTCTAACTCGGATATCCTAACACAGCTAAAAACATATCTCATTCAGGTACTTACCGGATCAAGAGAAGGGTCAATGACCGTCATTTGCGTGGGGACTCCATGTAGCATTTCTCCACTCAGTTTCATTGCGCTTGTTACACCACTAGATGACAAGAAAGATACTTTACAAAAGCGATGGTTACTTTTCGGATAACTGAAGAAATATACTATAGTGACAGATACTCGTAACCTTATCCGTTGGGTAACCTTATCGGTTGGGTAACCTTATCGGTTGGGTAACCTTATCGGTTGTGTATTCCAGCAGAGGTGCAGACGGCGATAGACTTACTATAGGAATTCCACTTTTTGTACGTCATCTCCCGTCGTTTTTGCTGTCTTGTTTCCAGCGTCATCTTCCAGTTGAGTCTGTGCAAAGAATAGTTTCACCGTTTCCGTTGTGGCGACATTTGATATGGATTTTATATAGACTGACAGGCCAGGTCCAGAAGTCATTTAATCACGCAGCAGTGCTTAAACAAAAGGAAAAACCCGGGGCGCGGCCGAGCCGTTAGATGTAGCACAGGGAGGCAAAGGTAGCACACGCGTGTGCGAATGTCTCAGGAACTAGCAGACAACGTTCAGGACCTCTCCCAGGCGGCGCTACCGAGTTCCCGACCAGACGACGGGTTCGGGAGTCGGGACAGCCGTACGTCTAACACCCGCGGAAAACCCCCCCACCCCTTACGAGACATAGCCCGTCGACTAAACCCCACAACAGCCCCAACGATTTCAGCCGACCCTCTTCCGACGACCCCACCAAGTCCCACTACCCCACCACACCCCCCTCCCGCACACTCACCTCGGGTTCTGTCCCCATCCAGCAGCGCCACGGCCAAACCCAAGAAGCGGCATGCCGTTCTCCATAAGCGTACGAGCAAACGGCCCGCGGCACCAAAAACGACACAACGTGCAGAGACCAGACGTCAGTCACTGCCGGAAACGGAAACGGCGGCGAACGCTGCTTCTCCCTCCTCTGCGCGAAACAACGTTCTGGATGTGGACAGTGTCCTAGAAACCTTGGAGAGTCAACTGGGGTTTCAGAGTTCTTCCACCCTTTCAAACGCACTGGATGACAAGGACGATGCAGCAAAGGAGAGCCCCGGCGGCCTTTCTCAGGCCGCTTACCCAGGCACAGCTGGCCGCGACCCGGCTGGCGTGTTCACCCGGATGATGGCGACCGTGATGGCGGCCTCCCCTCGATTTCTCAACTCGGCGAACGACGATGCCGAACCGTCCTCCTTCGGCGAAGTATTCTCCGCCGTGGTCTCCAGCTTCATGCCCAAAGCCACCCTCAGCTCCTCCCTCAGCCGCAGCCTCAGCGTCCGAGCGCCGCCCCCACCGCCCGTGGGCCTAATGGGTAGCATCGAGAACACCATCAAACAGCTCAAAGCCCGACGTAGGAAAAGACCACCGGACACCGAACCTTGGGCCATCGAGCTCCGCAAACTCTGTCATCGCAAGGTCAGCAACAAAGTGCTTAACAAAGTGATTGACCGCCTTTTAAAGCAAGAACAAAGCGTCACGCAAACACTCCAGGTCGTCAACAACCCCCTCCTCAGCCAAGAAGCGGCTCCAGAAAGCGACGATCACGAGGCAGACTGCCCCTCCCCTCTCTGCATGTAACTGCCTGCATGTTGGCTGCCGTCGCTTCTAGACTTTCCGGACTCTTCGCGGTCGTGGTGGCTTCTGTCGCCTGTGTGGATCTCTTCCTCTACTGCGAAGATCCAGGCTACGTACGACGCGTCCTAAGGTAAGGAAACGCACAGGCGTCATTCCACTCTTCGTCAGAGCCTACTCCGACGACCCCACACCGCCGCAGAAACAATCGGACGAATCGGAGCCAACGTGATTCCCTGGCTCTCAATTTCATTCACGCACGCCAGTACCGCACATCCCACCTGCGAGGAGCAGACCCTGCTCGGTCCTCCAGGTGTGAGCATGGCTGCACGCATGAACATGCCTGGCGGCATGCCTGGTAGCGAAGGTTATGGCGGTATCGTCTTCATATTCAATGGGGCGGCCTTAACTGAATGGGACGCCCGCTATTTTCGTTTCGGTATCTCGTACCTTTTTTGCCTGCTCGCTGCCTGTGGGTTCGCTCCATGTGAGCTCGGCTGCTCGCTGCCTGTCGGCATAAGCAAACTTGTTTAGTAACGGATTCACGGACGTCGTCTGCGCGTCCACGGACGTCGTCTGCGCGTCCACGGACGTCGTCTGCGCGTCCACGGACGTCGTCTGCGGGTCCACGGACGT